CCCAGGGAGGACAATATATTGTGTACCTTCTTCCCCTGCCAACAATTATGAATTTGTCCCAAGGTGGGACATCCCACCAAATGGGAAGCTGGTGAATGCAACTGAGAGAAACTGTCCTCTGGCAAGGCATGCGGAGCCTGTGGCTCCAATGGCACCACAGAAGCAGTGAGGGCAAGAGCTTAGTAGGATTTAAGGTAGATGCCTTAATTTATTTTTTTTTTATTTATATGGAGATAAGGAGTGTAAAGGGATATAGCCATAATCCCAAAAAAGTAAAGCCAGATGAGTAAGAAGTATGGGAGGGAAGAAACATCTCCTGGCCCATCTGGGGTGTAGATGAGTACATGAACTGGGGGTCTAGCAGCACTCTTTCGTTCTCTGGAGCCAGATGCCAGGCTGTGGCTTAGATTAGATATTACAAAGAATTACTTTACTGAGAGGGTGGTGAGGCACTAGAACAGCCTGCCCAGGGAGGTGGTGGAGTCAGCATCCCTGGAGGTATTTGAGAAATGTGTAGATGTAGCTCTTCAGGGCATGCTCTAGTGCCCAAGATTATTGGTTTGTGGGTGGGTGTGATGTGGTGGGGTGTTGTGTGTTTTTGTTTTGTTGTTGGTGTGTTGTTTTTTGTTTTCTTGTGGTTGGACTCGATGATCTCAGAGGTCCCTTCCAACCATGGTGATTCTGTAACCCATTGGTGGGCTGGGGCAGGCCAACCTCTTGGCCCTACAAGTCCATGTACTCCCAATGACCTGGGCCTTCTCAGGAGCTCTTGGCAGCTCAAAAGTGACATGGTACTTGCCTGTTTAATATCTGTAGCTGTCAACTGAGTCTTTGGCTGGAAAGTCAGCAATGACCTCACTCCATTACCAGTGTTAGCCTCACCTCTGTCCCTGGGAAGGTAATGGAGCGATTTGTTCTGGAAGTCATCTCCAAACACGTTTAAGAACAGGAAGTTATTGGAAGTGGTCAGCATAGATTTACCAAGGGTAAATCGTGCTTGACCAATCTGATAGCCTTCTATGTTGTTGTAACTAGATGGCTGGATGAGGGGAGAGCAGTCTACCTTGACTTCAGCAAGGCTTTTGACACTGTCTCCTGTAACATCCTCCTCAGGAAACTGAGAAAGTGTGGGCTAGATGAGGGAGCAGTGAGGTGGATTGAGAGCTGCTTGTGTGACAGGACTTGGAGAGTTGTAATTAATGGACCAGGGTTGAGTTGGAGGCTTGTAATCAGTGGTGTCCCCCAGGGGTCAATACTTGGTCCACTTCTGTTTAGCATATTTATCAATGACCTGGACGAGGGGGCAGACTGTATCCTCAGCAAGTTTGTTGATGGTACCTAACTGGGAGGGCTGACTGACATTCTAGAGGGCTCTGCTGCCATCCAGCGTGACCTGGACAGGCTGGAGAGCTGGGCAGAGAAGAACCTCATGAGGTTCAATAAAGGCAAGTGTAGGGTCCTGCACCTGGGGAGGAAGAATACCAGATACCAATATAGGTTAGGGGTGGGCCTGCTGGAAAGCACTACTGAGGAGAAGAATCTGAGGGTCCTGGTGGATAGTAAACTGTCCATGAGCCAGCAATGTGTTCTTGTTGCCAAGGGGGCCAATGGGATCCTGGGCTCCATAGGGAGGAGTGTGGCCAGTAGGACAAGGGAGGTCATTCTCCCCCTCTGCTCTGCACTGGGGAGGCCACAACTGGAATAGTGCATCCAGTTCTGGGCTCCCCAGTTCAAGAGAGACAGGGAACTGCTGGAGAGAGTCCAAAGTAGGGCAACAAAAATGATTAAGGGATTAGAGCATCCCCCTGATGAGGAAAGGCTGAGAGAGCTGGGGCTCTTTAGCCTGGAGAAGAGAAGGCTGAGGGGAGACCTTATCTATGTTTACAAGTATCTAAAGGGCAGTTTGAGGGAGGAGGAGCCGGACTCTTTTCAGTGGTTCCCGGTGAAAGGATGAGGGGCAACAGGCACAAGCTGGAACATGGGAAGTTCCACTCAAATCTGAGGAAGAACTTCTTTGGGGTGAGGGTGCCAGAGTCCTGGAACAGGCTGCCCAGGGAGGGTGTGGAGTCCCCTTCTCTGGAGATCTTGGGTAGTTTGTTTAATGATTGTGACACTGCTTCAACAGTCTTTGTTCATGGCTTTTCAGGATAAAGAGGTGTGCCTGATTCTTATGTTTCCTGGATATTTCATGGTCTTGAAAAGTGCATAAAGGCAGTATCAAGTAAATCAAAATATGGGACTGGGCCTTATTTTGGTGTGAGGTGCTGCAGCTTCACCGAGAGCAACAGATTTATGTTTGGGTTGACTGTAGACAGCAAGTATTAGGTTGTGTCATCCGAGTGTCTGCGAGAGAGGCTTTTCTTTCTTTTCATGCTGGCTTAAACCAGGTGGTAGTGTCCCTGTGTATTGTCATCCCCATCTCCGTCCTGAGGCAGCGTAGTGTTTCCAGGTGGCTTTGGGACATCATCTCACCCAAACAAGTCCTTGGGGATAGGGGGCTTGAGTGAGGGGCCCGCTTTGTAGCACCTCTGGCCCTAAACTGGTGTCTTCAATCCCTTCCTAGCTCTCCTTGGGGGTTGCTGAGAGCTTTGCTTTCCTGTGACACTACTGTACATGTGTGTCACCAGAACTTAAGTAGCTGGTTGGTCATGTTTGGGTAGAAGTGATATAGCTAAATATGAATTGGTGAAAGACATGGAGCTCCCAGAACTCTGGCTGTAGTTTTGGGGCTAGTGGTGGTAAAATAGCAGCAGAGTTCCACAGCAGCTGTGTGGGAAGGGGGTATACAGGAGGCCTCCTTATTTTTGGCAGACTGGAGTCACCCATAGTGACTGAATGCTCCCTGAATACGAACCAGCCCGGGTGGCCAAGAAGGCCAACAGCATCCTGGCTTGTATTAGCAATAACATGACCAGCAGCAGGACTAGGGAAGCGACCATCCCTCTCTACTTGGCACTGGTGAGGCACCACCTCAAATACTGTGTCCAGGTTTGGGCCCCTCGCTACAGGAAAGACGTTGAGGTGCTGGAGCGTGTCCAGAGAAGGGAACAAACCTGGTGAAAGGTCTGGAGAAAACATCTTGTGAGGAGCGGCTGAGGGAGCTGGGGTTGTTCAGCCAGGACAAAGGGAGGCTGAGGGGAGACCATATTGCTCTCTACAACTACACAAAAGAAGGCTGTAGGGAGGTGTGTGTGGGGGGGTCAATCTCTTCTCCTGAGTAACAAGCCATAGGACAAGAAGAAATGCCTCAAGTTGTGCCAGAGGAGGTTTAGATTGGATAATTTTTTTACACTGAAAGGTTTATTAAGCATTGGAACAGGCTGCCCAGTGGTGGAGTCACCATCCCTGGAGGTATTTAAAAGACATGTAGATGTGGTGCTGAGGAACATGGGTTAGTGGTGGACTTGGCAGTGTTAGGTTGATGGTTTGACTCAATGATCTTAAAAGTCTTTCCCAACCAAAATCTTTGTAAGATTCTACAGTTCCGACATAAGGCCTGGAAACGCAACCCTTCTCGAACTCTCCCCTTCCAAGGGGCCCTTTCCCGGAGGTGCAAATCAGAGCTTTAGAAAAATAATTTCAATTATTGTGTTGCCCTTGTCTGATACAAGAGGTCAGCCATTGTGGGAAGGGTCTTGTCTGTTGACTCCACCAGCAGGAGACGTTGCTGGCAAGCTGGGTACCTTCTTTGTAGGAAAGGAATCACAGACTGATTTGGGATTGGAAGGAACCTCTGGAGATCATCTAGTCCAACCCCCCCTGCCAAAGCAGGTCCATCTAGCGCAGGTTGCACAGGAATGTGTCCAGGTGCATTTTGAAGCAACGATTCGTCTCAGTCCTATTTTCTCCAGCTACAGCAAGGCTAAACAGCAGAAGGCATTTTCATTGCTCGTGGATCCAAGTCTCTTTTTGGCTAATAGCTAGTGAAAAGCACAGTGCTTTTTCTTGGGGTCATGCTGTGCTGGGGCTGCCATGCGGTCTCCAAGGCTGGCTCGCTGTCCCTGTCTGCTGCTGTGGTGTTTCCACCATTCCCTCCCCTTCCCAGGCATGCAGCCATCTGCATCTGCCTCCCACCCAAATTCCCCAGCCTCCTGATGGGCCTTTGGCCTGAATTTTGGGCAGTGGCTGCTGTCTGGGAGTCCTTGGCTCCGTGATGGGACTAGTGGCTGGCTGGAGCTCAACGGCTCCTGTGGTGTCCACCAGCCTGAACAATTCCTTGCTCTCCCCCAGTCTAACTGTGCATTAACTAACACAGCCTGGGGCGGGGGGGGTGTGCTCCAGGGCCTCCTCTTGGCAGCAGGAAAAGAAACAAGTGTGCAGATGTGCCAGACAACTTACTCTCTATTGAAGGTTATGTCACGCTTGCTCTGTATGTCAGAGCAAAACCAGAGAGGATTGCAGCATTTTTTAATTATTTTTTTTTAAATGCAAGTTCTATCTTTTATATTTGTCAGTAGGTTTGACTGGAAAAAACCACCCCAACTCTAAAAACAAACCCCAAACCTTGATAACAAGAAACACTTTTTTTAAATTTGAGGTTTCTGGTTTTTGTCTTTCAGATCCTGGTACAAATCAACTTTAACCACACAGAGGCAGACACAGGTTTCAATTACAGAGATATAAAGCAACAAACCCCCCCCACATGGAGTAGCTTTGTTCAGCTCAAGTATCAACTGTTGAAGTCACAGTGCAAAGACAATCAGCCGGGGACCAGAGTTCATCTGCTGTCCAGCTTCACCCAGAGCCTCTGCTCCACCACTCGGAAACGATGCTTCTTAAGACATTGGGTATGTTTTCATGAGTGTGTGTATGTTTTCACATTTATATTTGAGTCACTTGTCCCTCCCATGTGTGTTTTAATTAATGGATATACTGCAGAAAAAAACCCATCAGTAACATAGCATGTAACATTGATAGTCTACGCCATACGGACTGTACTGAATGTAAGAAGATCGTCATATAATTACGGTACAATATGAAATCGTACATACAATGTGAGATTTGACATATTTACATATAATTTATTATATATAATCATATTACCTGTTCTCTGTAATGTCATGTCTTGTACCTTGCTATTGACACTGTGTACAGAGACAACTTAGTATGATGATGTAATTACTATATAGCACAATACCAATACACAATTGTCTGAGTTGGAAGGGACCTCTAGAGATCATCTGGTCCAACTCCCCTGCTAAAGCAGGAACGCCTACATTTCATATAGGAATAGTTCACAAATCAGAGTATTATAGGCTAGAGCTTATATAGTACATAATATAGACTATTCTGTTTTGTACAGATGTAGCGCCTAAGTTACATATACACTTCACAAAATGCCACTAACAGTATAGTGTGTTGTAGACTCTATTTTGTTACATATCATATGTTGACTAAAACAGTGCATAGTATATATTTTATCTATACTATCTGCCCTATAATAGAGTATTTTAGTAGATAGCTGGTATATATTATCTCCATACTAGTCGGTACCTGTAGGCTATAAGTTACATAGTATGTACATACAAGGTGTTATATGTTTACTTTATATTCCAGGCTTTACCTGCACTGTTTACAGAGTGTATAAAAATGGGTTAATCTAAAACACATTTTCTATTAGAGTTAACAGCTTAATTGAATTAGACATAAGTACAGCACATAATAATATACATTATACTGTCTAAAATACATTAACTAGACATCATCTAATACTAGTAGTATATGTCATACCTAGTACATCTACTGCATACTATACATACTACATCTGTATTATAATAGTCTGTGTTACAGATTAAATCCTGTATTTTAGATGAATCTACACTCTTGGGGCACTCACCACTTGGGACACTGAACGCCCCTCCTCATGCAAAGTGCTTTGGCTGGGAGGGGTGGTATCACCCCCTCCTCAGCACCTGGCCTCTCCAATGGTGCAAAAATAAACATCAACCCCTTCTGGTGCAGAGATGATGTGCCTTGCAGGGCTCAGGATGCCTGTTGGATGCTCCTTGGCTTGTGGGTCTGCAATCTCACAGTGGTCCCAGGATCTTCTTGAGCACATTTACCTGGTGTCACAAGAGTCCTGCAAAGCTCCTTGAGCACCACTCTCTCCAAAACCTTGTTGAACTCATTGAGACAAGGCTTATTTCAGCTCAGAGCAAAGGCAGCTGCTGGGGCGAGGACCTCCCGCATGCTTGATGAGCTGGACTCAGGGCTGGCTTCAAGCAATGTAGGTCTTCCCATCTGGAGCAATGGGAACATGAAAATGCTCAGCAGCAAACAGAAACACTCACCCCACTTTCCAACACCAACCAAGCACACAGGCATATGCTCTTCCACCCAGGAGAGAGTGATGATCCATTGGTTTAAACCGGAGGGAAACCTCAGCTGCCACCAGATGGAGCAGCCTCCCCGGGTACCTCCTCCACCAGCTGTTTTTTCATCAGGACTGGCTTTTTTTTTTTTCTACAGGAATTCATTACGATAAATGTTTTATCATTGAATTCCAAAGGAATTAACAGAGATTTGCCACTTACTTTAAGGGGCTGCTGATAATTCTAATGGAACAAGAAATTAGGTTTTTTCTACACGTCTCCTGACACTTATTTCATAAATAAATAAATAAATGCAACCCCAGGACCAATTAAAATCCCAAAGCACAGTTTTCACCCTACGAGACAGATCAAGGTCATAAAGACCCCTTTGGAAGCTGCTGTGCAAGAGGAGAGGGGGCACAGGGGCGAGGAATCAAAGACAACCCGATTCCTCTGGGAGAATCTCTCCGAGAAGGCTGAGCAGGAGAAGAGGTAACCTGGCCCCCATTTCTGCAGACTTAGAGTGACCTCCAATGTCATCAGCTCAGCAAAACCAGGCACAAACCTACTGCTTTCCCAAACGAGATCTGGAAGGGGAGGTATCTGTCAATCTGGCCAGCAGCAACAGGAGTCTAATTAAGGGTAGTTTATTGCTCATCTCAACCTAGCAGACTCACTTGCTCTTTGCCTAATCCACATCATCCGGGCAGACACCCATTGCTGCAAGGGTCTGAGAGAGCTCAAACACCTGCCCTTCTTCACCCTCCAAAACCACAGAGCTTTTCTTAACATTCTGCTATTCAAAAAGGGTGTGATGGACAGTTACTTGTTCCTAGATGAGAGATGAATTTATTTCTCTCCTTTTAAGCATAAACACCTGCTGCAGACAAAAATGTTCCCTTGCAGCAGAAACAGGCTACAACATGGGGAAAGTGGGTACCTTCTTCCAGGCTGTAAAGCTCTTGAGATACGGTGAAAACAGAGTTCTCAGCAAACTGAACCCAATGAGGTGCTGTGTTAACAGCTAATGCTGGTATTTCTCTTGCTTGGGTTGGCTCCCTGCTGCTCCATACATGACAGTTGGGTCCTGTGCCTTGTCCTCTTCCGTTTGGCTACCAAAGGGTTGCAGGCAAGGAAAGGTCCCATTTCAGAGAGGGAATCCACTCATCAGAGACCTTTAAACACACAGAGCCAGCCCTCTGATTTTGGTTATCACTGATTATATCCTTGGCTTTGGATAAGAGTAAGGCAGGGGGAGTACATGTGTTTTCATCCATACTGGTGCCATGGGAAGAAAAAAGCCACCTTCCTGTTCCTTGCAGTATCTTCTACCCATTCAATCTTTAAATAAGCTATGGCAGAAAGGGCAGATAATGTCTGGCATTTGTTGCATGTTCTCTATTATACCTTTGGATTGCATATAAATGGGACTATTCTTTGACAGACGATAGATGCCAGGGATTTTAACATCTCTGGTGCAGCAATGGGACCAACTGAGCGCCCTTCTCCCCTCTGAGCTGCAAAGTCCCCAGAGTCTTACCATTTGCTGATGTCATCCAAAAAATTCCCTCCAAGGTATCCATGTCTCACAAGACTCCGCCGTCAAGTGAAGAATAAATTTAAACAAGGATCCAGCTGTGTGCGTCGGTGATCACAGGTCCAAGCTGAAACATCAACAACTGAAGCAAGCCTTGGTTAGGAGGGAATAAACACAAATACCAATCAGCAGGGTTAAGAGGGAATAAACAGGCAGATGGCATCGCCTCATCTTCAGGACAAGCTTTATTAACGTTTTGCTTTAACAAACATCATAGTATGAAGGCATCGGTTCTTTAAGTTTTCGAACACAGGGCACAGACAAAAGGAAAAATAACAGACTTGGAGGCAAATTCAGCATGTAAATGACAGAGTAACAGAAGAGGCCTGTGTTAACCAATACAGCTGATAGACCATCTATCAGAAAACATTTTGCAAGCAGCAGTCTACATTTCTCTGCATTGACTTAAAAACATATTTTTGGATCAAGAAAATTACCTTTTTAAATTTTTTTTTGAAGGTTTTTTTTTTTTTTAAACATTCCTTTATATCACAAATGTTATGGTAAGGCAAATCCTGGATGAATCCTACGATAAAACCCCCTATTCCCCAAGAAAATAGATCCACATACTCTGTTAAGTTCATCATTTTAAAAGCAAAGCCAGCATGCACTGCATATAAAGAAAAGTCTTTTTTCTTAATTATATTTTTATTCAAGCGCCTAAAGCAAAATGGTGTTCACTCACAGAGAGGCTTTCTCAGTGCTTTATAGAAAGACTGACAATAAGCTGCAGCAAAGGCGTGACCCGTTGTTACAGACTATGTCTCAAATATACCCTTTGGATGTCTATATGGAAGGAAAGCCATTCGTCACCGGAGCAGTCACCAGCCCGAGGAATGCTGTGCCTAATGGTGGGGATGAAGGCTCTCAGACACAGGAGGAACAACGGGCCAGCAGAGCCCGATACTCTGTATGCAAACCGAAGGGCTGCTATTCCCTTTAGATCACCTACTGCAAACACCTTTGGGGTTTAAACCCCAAAATCCTTGACACAAATCCCTGTGGGGTGACTCCTGGTCTGACACTGGCTCTTCTACAAAACCAGCTCCCCGCACTCCTGTGGCTCCAGCAAGAGCGGCAGAGACCGCATCGATGGGCACAGGTCCAGCCTCGATTACTAACTCAGCTGAAGACCTCACGCTGCCAAAGTATACTCACTTTATGACTAGTGAAAAACCCCAATTCAAACACAAACCCACCTGAAGAAAGACAGATATAGACGCAGCTGCAAATTGTCTTGTAAGGACTTAATCAACTCCCACATTTCCTTGCTTTATGCCTCCTACCTGGGCTCCACGCTCTGCCGCTGTGTCCTCGGGCAAACGGGTCACGGTTTCAAAGACTCGCTGCTGTTCAAGGACCAAGGGTAAACGAAAAGTGCAATGACAAAACTGTCAGGGCTCAGAGAGTGTCTCATGTGATGCACGTTTACAGTTAATTTATTTTTTTTTTAAACTATCAGTCAGTCTTCACAAGGAGTTTAAGGAATCTGCCTCCTCACTGAACTGTAACACCTTGGCAGCCAGGCTCATGTGGCTCCTCCTCACTAAAGCTGAGGCTGACAATGGCAAGAGTGACAATGAATACACAGATAACGGCAGCCTACAGCTCCATTAACCTTGCCCATGGGCGAGCACAATGGAAAGGAGCAGAGCTAGGTTCCAGCTATGGCAGCTCAGCGGAGCGCACTTCACCCCAGCTGACAACCTGGTCACCTCAGATCTCCTCAACATTTCATAGAATCACAGAATGGTTTGGGTTGGTACGGACCTTAAAGATCATTGAGTTCCAACACCCCTTTCCCTGGGCAGGGACACCTCCCAGCAGACCAGGTTGCTCAAAGTCCCATCTAACTGGCCTTGAACCCCTCCAGGGATGGGGCAGCCACAGCTTCTCTGGGCAACCTGGGCCAGGGTCTCACCACCCTCACAGGAAAAAATTTCTTCCTGAGATCTAATCTAAATCTCCCCTCTTTCAGTTTAAAACTGTTCCCCCTCATCCTATTGCTACACTCCCTGATCAAGAGGCCCCCCCATCTCTCCTGGAGCCCCCTGTAAGTCGAGCTCGCCGAGTTCATTCCCGGCCCTGCAGGGCCAGTTCCCTCACTCACAGCAGACACAGAGGGAGGCCTTCAATCCTGGTCTTTTCAAAGCGACTGCACAAACAGGAGATTGAGAGGAGAGACACCTAGTGTGTTTATCCTTCTTCCTCTGAAGGTTTTCATCCACTCCTATCCCAGCTATTATGACAGGCCATTTTAATCAAAACCACCCAGTACAGAAACTACACAGAAACATATGGGACGCACACTACATAGAGGTACAACCTGCAAGGCCTCCACTGCAAACCTGTAGTCAGCTGGAAACAAGGTGAAGGAACAGGAGGAGAAAAAAAAAAAAAAAATCCATGTCCCAAATGACACATTCTGTCAAGCACAACCCCAGGGATGGGAAAGAAAAGCAGCAGAGACACCCCAAAGGGAACAAGGAGTCCCTTCAAAGGTGCTCCGAGGAGAACAAAGGCTAGAAGAGCGGTATCTAGGAAATTTAGGTAGACTGAGCAATATTATGAACCCAATTCATAGGCTTACGTCAGCTCATTTGCTCCTTTGGCAGTTGATCCAACTCAGAGTTATGCATCCACCAATCTCCAGGAGAAACAGGTGATGAAGAAGCTCCTCAAGATCTTCTCCGGCGCTAGTGTCTCCTGAGTTATAATTCCACAGGAGCTGGCACATGGAAATATTCTTCTGCTCCCTCCACAAGCAAGCATGCTGGAGCCACCTATAGGGAGACGGGGCTGCCTTTCCAGGGGCTGTACTCTCCAAGTGACATCTGGGGTTTTTCTTGTTTTCCTTCCTAATCCTTGTCTGTCCTGACACCCTTTCAAATTAACCCACAGCTTGGGGCAGCCACCAACTGCTGTAGCCAATTGAGGTGTGTTAGGGCCACATTTGCCTCGCTGTTAGACCAGCAAATGACTTCTCACCAAACCTACTCTAGCTGGGATAAACCCTGATCACAGGAGGAGAGAGATATGTCTTACCTTCTTCTTTACTTTTTTTTTTTTCTTTTTTGCCAGCTAGTGAATAACTGTTCTGGTATTTGTGCATATTTGGGGGGGGGGGAAGAACAGAATCAATTACTTTGCTTAAGTATTATCATCAGCATTTTAAAATACAGTTGGTAGCACATCACACTCTGGACACAGGTTGTGTGCTCTTCCATGGAGTGTACTGTCTATCGGTTTCCGTTACAACATGGTTAGGAAATGTATGTGAAATCCTTTTGTTCCTTTACTAAAAATTTCAGTGCAGCATTTGCTGGCAGAACAATTGACATATGGTGAGACATTCTTATCCAAATAACTGTTAATTGCTTTTTAAAAAAAAAATTAAAAAAAATCATGCATATGCAGTAGGAAACATAATGAGGGCTCACACAAGATACGGTGTGAAGTTGTTAAAGCCAAGAGCCATATTTAAAGACGCCTTGAATGCAGAGCGCCCCTTACCCCGTGTCACTCGCAGGCTGGAGGAAAGATGTGTTGCCTACCTGCACCCCAAGGTGGTACCCACGGCACGGATGTTGAGGTGTGCAGAGCTAACTGGAAAAGAGCGGGACTGATGTGGGGTGCGGGCTGTTTGAGGCCACACGTGTTATTTTGGCGTACAGGACCCAAAGAGAGACAGGCACAGCATAGGCTGGCCACGGTTTAGCTTTCCCACACCAGAGAGAAAGGCGAAGGGCAGAGCCCCGGGCGATCCCGAAGCATCCGGGATGATGGAGCGAATGCGCAGAATTCCGCTTCCAGCACACACTCAAGGGAATCCGGCCAGCGCCGCTTCCAGCAGCCAGGGTGTGGGGTTTGGACACAGTGACCTGCCGGCGGGCGCTGGCAGGAGGTGCCCATCGACAAGCCTGGAGGCAGGCAACGTGCGGGGCTGTCGCTATCAATATTTCTGAGATTTTGGAGCATCTAGTCTTTCAAATCCCTATAGCACAAGGAGGGCGGTCGTTTATCAGCGTGCGCGGATTAGAATCCTTTGTGGCAGTTCATGTTCTCAAAGCAAATCTCCCTTTATATCCCAGGGAACAGTTTTTAAAAAAAGGGGGAGGAGGAGAATAAGCTGGCTCCCACAGGTTGCCTGCAGACAACTGGGAAAGAAGATAAAGGAAGATAAAGATGATAGAAAAGGGGTGGGCCTGGGAACAGGCTACTGATGATACGATGCAGGAGCAAGAGACCCAATATAAAACAGGGACTCACGGTTCAGAAGAAACTGTTGTAATTGCAGGGATAATTGCAAAACATTGTTAGAACTAGGAAGTTATGTTTCTTTTCAACAGGCTTACAGAACGAAATGCAATGAAGAACAAAGAAATTAAAGCAAAGAATCATTTCCCCAAAGCGCCCTCCCTCCCAACCCGCGGAGCATCTCTGCGTGCTCTTTTCTGCCAAGAATGATGCCGTAGGATGTCAGTGCCTGCCCGTCGGGTTTCCTCGGGTCTCTCCTCTCCTGCATCCTTCCTTTGCCACAGCGAGAGACAGAAAAAAAAAAAAAAAAGGCAAAATTTCAAATGTCTGCACAAAACCCAGGTCTCATCTTTTTTTCTTTAGCACAGATGCCTGCGGTTTCTCTTTCTGTCACACATGCAGCACGTGTATGTGTCACATGGTTTATTTATAACAGCCACTATTATCTCTATAGCAAATTGGCTGCGCTCATTAGGGTTTCTTGGTTTTCCACAGCACCGTGCTACCTAGCTCTGTATCAGAGGCCCCAGCTCTGGTGGGTGCTTTGGTGCTAGACCACAGAACTGCTGTTAAAAACAACACATTAAAATGCTAACCATAGTTAGCAAAGGGATCTCCTCAGCTCCGCAAGACTCTTTGAAGTTTAACAGGCTGATCAATCCTCCCCAGGTACCCACTCCTTGCAATTAAAACAGCAGCTACAGCGTCAGGAGCACTTAGATAGAGAGCCATGAAGGATTTAATGACTGCTGCTCATCACGTGCGTGCCATTAAAATGCTGGGTGCGCCCCAGCTCGGGCCCCTTTGCTTCAGAGAGGTGCTGGCAGAGCCAGGCCTTGCAGTGGAATTGAAGGGATTTATTAATTGTTAGCTAATTTTGATATTATGCCTGTGAACTCTCCCTTAGTAAAGCAAGAATTACTCCAGTCCAAAACACGGATAGATCATTTCTTCCCTGGGAAAATGCAGCATAAACCACACATTTCCTACAGGCCACGTGAAAGCAGGAATAACCATCAGATAATTTTTTTTAAACTAAGGAAGGGTATGAACCATTCCATGTATTTTTAAAAGCAAGGATTTCAATAGCCCCTCTTCCTTTTTTGATTGAGCAGAACATACAACCAGAAGCTAGGGGAGGGGAAAGGAGGAGCCGTGGAAGCTGTATTTTAATAGCAAGGGTGCCTTCTATTTTTCCTTCAGTACTTTTTACCAGGGAGCCCATCGGGCCTATTCCTTATTCCAGCAGAACAGCAGCACATTGTCTCTATACTGACAAGGATAAAGGCCTACGCTTGGTAATAAGACCTTGTATTTTAAATCTCTGCGATACAGCTGCCGCATTTGGTCTTGAGCTAGATGAAATCCCATTACAAGCATAAATAATGCATCTTGCTGTATAAGATACTGACATGTCACAATAACCCTGTGCCAAAGGAAGTGGTGTACATTAACTCTTAAAAACTACTTTTGAGGGAGAAATGGCAACTGCTTCTTGTGATTGGGGCCTCGGACTTCTATCTTCCTACCAGATTATTCATTTTTATCTAGGGGCGAGGCTGCTTATGCCCATGATGAACTCTGCAGCAACAACCACCATCGCACGCCCCTGCCATGCACTGTCATTTAGCGTATTAAAGCCATAAAAAGCTCCAAAAGGCAGCAGAGCCCCAGAAGGCAGCTCGCTGACTCTGCCTTGTTTTGCAGTGCCATCGCTACAAGTGACGTTAGGCATCCAAGAGCCAAGGGCAATAAACCCCTCGTGACGTGAACCTGTTGTTCCCAGAATACAGATCGTACAGAACTGAGCTCAGCTCCAACCGGTATAAATTGCCTGTCATTTTCCTAAGCAATGCCAAAAATTGTTCACTCGGTTACTCTTCTGCTCCTTATCTCGGTGCTGTCTTGCCTTCTGATGATCTAAGACCGTGCACTGTCTAAATCCATTACAGTTGCCGACAGCTACTATAATATTTACTTGACAAATCAAGTCTACTGGATATTTCTATTTTTTTTTTTTTTGTGTAATACAGGCCATATTAGACAATTTCTTTTCCTTTGTATTTTGTTTTGGGTTTTTTTTTGGTAAGGTCTAAGCTTACCACATTAAGGTAATTTTTAAAGCAAGTTTTCAAATAGAAACTGAATAGGAAATGTGGGGGAAAAAATAGCCATAAAGGTCTTACCTGTTACTTAAGCTTCCCGCTCTGATTCTGTAGGATCATTTAAACTTTCAACTTGACTAGTCATTTCAGCTGAAAACAAAACGAGACAGTCATCAAATACTCTTCTTGATACTTGTTAAGTCTATCATAGAATCACAGAATGGTTTCCGTTGGAAGGGGTCTTAAAGATCATGGAGTTCCAACCCCCTGCCCTGGGCAGGGACACCTCCCACCAGACCAGGTTGCTCCAAGCCCCCTCCAACCTGGCCTTGAACCCCTCCAGGGATGGGGCAGCCACAGCTTCTCTGGGCAACCTGGGCCAGTGCCTCACCACCCTCACAGGAGAGAATTTCTACCTAATATCTAATCTGAATCTTCCCTCTTCCCGTTTGTCAAACAATAGCCACTTCTAACCCAAAGGAGACATTTATTGCATTAAAAATTCTACGTCATAAATCTGCAAAAGGGTCTCTCGGGTCAGCCATCCTAACCTGGGGTTCCACAGAAGCCCCAGTGAGCAGTTCTTCCTGGGAGCTGGCTTCAGCACAGCTACAAACACAAGCTTCTGGATCTACATTTTCCCTTTGGCCTGCATCCATCCAGTTTGGCACCCAACTGAGATACCCACCACCATGACCCTCCTCTGTCTCTGTAGGCCATAGGCGGAGATACAGGTATCTCCACAGGACAATTTTAGAGTTTCGCTGGGCTAAGTGGTCTTGACCCTGCGATTCCAACATCCACAGGCTCCTGACAAAGTCCCTGGCAGGACCCACGGCTGAGCTGCAGGGGCTGAACGCGGATCCATCTCCAGTTACTGAGATGCTGGCGCTGCCTCCGGGTGTCCTTGAACCACAAATTGCTGGAGCTTAGGAAAGGGTTCAGGGTCATCACTGTACTCCTACACACAGTAGTTTGCTCATGTACTAGCCATTTACAAAACCAATCTCTTTTTTTATTATTTAAGATTAAGAAAAAAAAAAAATAATTTAAATAGAAGGCTTACATTCATTTCAGCATGACCTTTGTCAAAAATAGAATCTAAACTATGGCATATGTGATTGGTCCTATCCAGGGTAAATGTAAAAGGGTTACTTCAGCATGTGCATTTTTAAGATTAGTGTTTAGTATTTGTTCTGCAATGAATTTGAATGAAGCCATTTATATTAAGACTTTTTTTCTTTCTTTAACCTTGCTTTATATTGTGGTATCAACTGCAGATTATGAGTCATTTGATGTAGGTGATGGGGAAAAACCCTCAAGCCTAAACGCGAGATTTGGAAACCAAGAGAAGATGGGAGTGGGGAGGGGAAAAAAATATGACAAAAATCACTAAGTATGCTAAATCCAGCCAGGCAGTATGATCTCTTTCTGACTCAATATCATGTCAATACACCTGTTAGGGTCTTGATGAATTATTTGTAAATTATTCATCATCCATATGCAGAACAGATACCATAATGGCTTCCTGGATGTATGCAATGAATAATAAGAAAAGTATCCTCTCCTGATTACGGAGCTCTGATGCACACTGCATTTAGCAATGTTGTCTTCTTTACCCACATTTGCATAGCAAAGACAGGATGCTTAATAAAAAACCATTACGGGAAGGCTGCTGCACACTGACGACAGCAGCCTTTCTCAACCTCATTATGCCGGGCAGTTTCACTGGCTGCGTTTTCTGAAAATACCATAAGGCTCCACTCATGATCTACAGAGATCTTCAGCAAAAATAAAGCTTGATTTGAAACCCGAGGTTAGGCTCTGTCGGCATCTCAGATGAGTACACCTCCTTTGCCTGTCTTTTTTTTTTTTTTCCCCCCTTTACAAGCAGTTGACCACCATCTGTCACGCTGATAGCATGTCCCATAGAGGAGGGGCAAGCTGCAAACTGCCCGGGAATGCTTTAAGGGCAACATGGAAGCACGGGGGGAGCTCCTGCCAGCAGGGAAGCGAGAGGAATCACCGAGCCCCACGAAATGGCAGCCAGGCAGCCTGCATCAGCAGCCAGAAAAGCATCCGCTGTGCACACCGCAGTGGGGAGGGGGCTCACAAGTGCTAAGGCACCGGCAGGTCTCATTATTAGCTATTTCCTACGTGCTTGTGTTTAAGCACGGCTCTTGGAGTTCACCCTGGTGGGGACAGGAAGATTTACCTGAATGATAAGCTTCTGCAGACCACTGGGTGAACCCCGACAACAGATGTCCCTACGAGGCCACCTACACAATCCTCTATATTTAACCAGAAAATAACAGGGGAGCGAAGCACCTACCGCAAGAGCAGATGGAAGAGCCGCCACCGGGTACGGTGGGAATGTGACTCACAGCCCTCGCTGCCTCCCAGCATGAACCAGTGTCAGAACAAAGCTGCTAGCCCTACAACGCTACATCCCATTGCATCGCAAGTCAAAACTGCCGTTCTCCCCACTAAACAATGTTTTTAGAGGTGTTAAACCACTAACTTTGATTACTGGTATCTTTGCGTCCACAATAGCCAGCACCTCAGAGAAGCACATGAAGTTCAAGGAAGGTGTGCACATCCTAAATTCAGTTTTACCTGCTCCCCCTTCTGCAGCTTCATGCGGTGCTTTTTACGCCAGAAATGGACATTCTCATGCAAGGGAAATGGATGTTTCTCCACATTCTCCCTGTTTGTTTTCCCTTAAATTTTGGCCTGTTGGGGAGGACCCATCTGCACCCTTTCTTTCAATCTGTGAGCTGCTCAGCAGCTCTCAAATCATAACCAGGGAATGATTTCCCCCCCAAAACCAAGCAAGCAAGTTCCCTGCAAGAGGAGAAGAAATAACCCAGCAGGCAGTTCCCATCTGTCAAGGCACCGCAGTTGCTGCTGACCCGGTGGCCGTGCTTCAGCAGCGAGGCATCCTGCCTCTCCCCTGCAAGAAGGCTTTGTGCTTAAAGGTCAGCTAGCCAGGAGTCACAGTGCAGCATCTAAGTCGAGAAGACAGGCAAACAGGAGACTGGAAAACCAAGTTCAGAGTCATCTCTGAGAGGGCGAGGGCATTTCCCCACCCCAGGATATTATGCTGCAGGCCTGGACGGCAGACAAAACTGTCTTGATTTAAATAGGAGCTCGGTCAGACTCTTCAAACATAAGCTATTTCTTCAGCCGCTTCCCACACAATGTTTCCCCCCTGCATCTACATAACTTGCCTATAGCAGGTTCAGCTGTAACTCCAGACTGCCTAGAAAGAAAACCATGTATTTTAAATTCTGCCCGCTGTATGGTTATGAAACACATGCACCCATTTACGTGGTAGTTACTTGTTTCTTGGATATTGCATCAACACCATCAAAAGCATGAGGGTGTTAGCTGTTGAGGTCTTGCTTTTGTATTGCTTTGGTGAATCACGTGATGGTCAGGTTATAAAGTTCAACAAGGATAAGTGTAAGGTCTTGTGCCTGGGACAATATAATCCAGGAGTGTGGCACAGGCTGGGGTCCACCTGGCTGGGAGCAGCTCTGTGGAAAGGGACCTAGGGGTCCTGGTGGACAAGCAGCTCAAGGTGAGTGAGCTGCTGTGGCAAAGAAAGTCAACAGGATGATGGGTTGCATCAAAAAGGATATCACCAGTAGAGATAAAGAAGTCATTGTCCCACTCAGCACTTGTCAGGCCACACCTGGAACACTGTGGTCAGTTTTTGTCCCTGCTATGCAAAAAAGATGCAGACAAAGATGAAGAGAGTCCAGAGAAGGGCCACCAAGATGATCAAAGGACCAGGAAGCCTGTCATATGACTGAGAGAACTAAATTTGTTCATCTTGGAGAAAAGAAGGCTTAGGGGAGACCTTATCACCACATTCTAGTATTTAAAGGGTGGCTACAAAGAAGATGGAAACTCCCTTTTTACAAGGAGTCAGATGGAAAAGAGAAGGGGTAATGGGTACAAGTTACTCCTGGGGAGATTCTGATTGGACACAAGAGGAAAATTTTTTCACAATGAGAACAACCAGCCATGGGAATAATGTCCCCAGGGCAGTGGTGGGTTCCCCAACATTGGACACTTTTAAGGTTCAGCTGGACAGCTCATTTAGACTGTACTTTTGGCAGCAAAGGTCAGACCAGATGCACCTCAAGGTCCCTTCCAACCTGCTATTCTATATGATTCCTGTTGTTGATCATTCATCAGCTTGCACAAGCTTATTTAAAAGAAAAAAGTGAAATTTCAGGTTTGACACTGCCTTGATTTTTTTCTTTTCTCCTATTGTGTCAGCAGGTAAGGATGCAGCTTTCCACAGGCTTGAAATAAAAAAGGCGAATGAGTAACCCCATTATGAAAGGAGTGAAGAGTCTGATCCGCCTAATACCAGCTGGAAACTAACACCTACCTCAGTAATCTTTAAAGCTTCCGTGGCATTAAAAAAAGAAAAGAAAAGAAAAAGGAAAAATAAAAAGAACACAAAGGCTGCCACCAGGGAACCACTGTGTAGGAAACCAATCACCAAAGGTGGGTTTTGTCATCATTAAAAAATACTGATCAGCAAATCTGTCCCGGGTATGAAAAATGTAATATCCAGGGGTCTTCACTCTGACTGATGGAGATTGCCAGCAGCAACCTGTATCTCTGTACACACAGCCCTATTCAGGCTTATGCACACACCCTCTGACAGCTTTCCTGATGGAGAATCACGCCCAGCTTTCAAATGATAGTAATTTCTGAAATATATCACTATTATGGCCCTGCCCACTAGATGAACCAATATCGAGATCCACCTAAGCTGTCTAAACTCTCTGCATTTCTAAAGCACTTTTCACTGTGATATGGTACATGAAATTAAAACACAAGAGCTGGGCTGCCAAGGGGTACCTGGTGATATATGCTTGTGCTTTCAGCTGTGAAGTGATGAGCTCTCCTGGGGCGGAAGAAAGGGGACCAGAGAAAAAATAGGCAATTTACATACTAGATGAACCAATATCGAGATCCACCTAAGCTGTCTAAACTCTCTGCATTTCTAAAGCACTTTTCACTGTGATATGGTACATGAAATTAAAACACAAGAGCTGGGCTGCCAAGGGGTACCTGGTGATATATGCTTGTGCTTTCAGCTGTGAAGTGATGAGCTCTCCTGGGGCGGAAGAAAGGGGACCAGAGAAAAAATAGGCAATTTACATAAAAATTACTGTCAAAGGGAACCTTTTTTACTTTTTTTTTTTTTTTTAAATCTCAGCTAGTACCCAGTACATAGAAAAATTTTAGGGCTTTTTATTTCAGCAAAACTTAACCCTTCAGATAAAACAGACCATAAGTAGCTTGATCCTTCCGCTGTTCTCATTTTTTTAAACACGTAATATATGCCCACAAGAAAAACCACCAATATGATCCCAGTAGCAACTTAAGTTGTAGAGAACCAAAGACTTCCCTGGACCGCAAAGTAAGTTTCTGCAGCCTTAGCAAACACCCTTTTCCTGTCCCTGCAGTAGAGTTCACAGAAAAGGAAGTTACTCGTTGAGTTATATGTAGAAGACCTTAGAAGATAAGCAAGATTTGAAACAAAGAAACTTATCATGATTGTCATTTCAGGAGCTGTCAGCTGATCCAGCTGTGCTGGGCCGTGGCACACATTCAAGAGCTACACCATGACTTTTCTTTCTGGCTGGAAATCCCTTGAGGTACTATTTTTGTAAATTTGGATTTGTTTTTGCTAGGCCATTCTAGGGATCTGAGATTCAAGAATTTTCATGTAACTACAAGTTTTTGCTTGGTTTGTTTGGGGAAAGAGGAAAGACGGCTGGATTGGCTTTATTCTGCACACTTACTAGTAAGAACGTAATCTGTACTATTTTTTAAAAAACAAAATCCATTATGCACACTTCCTATCCCTGTGCTTGCAAAAACTTCCCTACAGGCCAGTACCTACATCAGTCACCAGTTCAAATGCTGCAGCATGATCTGACATCAGCGAAAGGAAATCAGCATTAGAGTCTTTGTGTAACTAATATCAAGAATAATATAATTACTTTGTCTTTGAGATGTAATAAAGTACACCTTGAATTTATACTATGTCAATGCTGAAGAGGTCAAAGGAGGAATCAAAAAATCGGTCTTTGCTACAGACAGGGGTCCACCTACAATAAGAAAATAATTTCAAAAGCACTGCCCTTTTGAGCAGTAAAGAGGGCCTTTTGCGTAGAACCCAAGAAAGCCCCTTATGTAGCTCTGTTAAGCTGTAAGAGCCTACCTAGAGGCGCAATAAAGGGTTTGCCTCACCAAAACCAAAAACCATCCAGTATTTCTGGAAAGCCTTTTTTTAACCATTTGTTTACAAATATGTTAGGCACTGCAGAGCTGGTGCAGCATCCTGCTACTCGGCCCTTGCTGGGACTTTGCCAGACAACAATCTGGGTCATCTGCTCACCAAGGTCAATAACAAAAGAATTTCATTTCTGAGTCAGGAGATTTGGGTTGATGATGTCCACAAACCTGACCACAACTGCTGTTGGGTCACCAAATCGTGACGGTAAATGTTGTAGGGAGAGAATGTCTACCCGCTATCAGACTGAGCTACAGAGACTCAGAAAGAGCAGGAGGAAGAGAAATGAGCTCTGAGCTAGGAGGCAACCAACATAAGAGTTCAGAGTGCTTATACAGCCAACACTTGCCCCGTGACAGTTGGGCACTAGCACAAAAATTTTCAAAATATTCTGACTCCCATATGAGACCACACGCATCTTGGCCAATTCAACATCCAGATCAAAATTACAGTAAGACTAAAATATTGTTTATTGAAAGGACAAGCTGATCGAACATACTGATTGAACACATAAACTCAGTCAATTAGAACAGCAGGGGTATGGCACTGACAGGTAATTCCACCAGACTTCCAAAACAGTAAACTCTCAAGAAGACTCAAATGAAGAGATTCTAAATATTACTCCTATTTCTGGGGGGAAGCGTACAAACAAACCCCAGAAAGGCACGCTACGTATCTGCTTCAGGACAATAGAAATATTAGAACAACATACCATCCTTATTTGAAATGTCTGCTGCTTTACATGCAAGGTCAACTTCCATAGGCTCCTCAGAAGTTTCCTCTTCCCCTTGCATTCCTGTAAGAGAAGCCAAAGAAGGAGAAAAATCAATACTTACATTACCCGATTAACGTATAATTCTCAGACTCTGTAGGCCTGGTATTTTTCTTTTGGCACACTCTTACCTTTAGAGACTCTGCTGCTGTACAGTGGCAGCCATTAGAGAAAAAGGTAGAGGATACAGGGGGAGGAATAGGGTTTGAAAAGAATTGCTTGAATATTTGTAGCGATTTGCACTCTGTTCTAACTGGGATTGTTAAAACCACATCATGGTGTGTGCTTCTGCCTCCCTGCCACTCTTTTCCCATCATTTTTGAAGAATCCCTTCTGTTCATAAAATGCAATATATGATGTGGACCTAATTGCACTTATAAAGTTTCTCTAGCCAGCAGAATAAAAATAGATACAGTGAGAGTTCAAATATACCGGGTAGTCAGACACAAACTAGAATTTGAACTTAGGAAAATGTATTTTATCGCTGTAACTCAACATTTTTATCTCCTCTGCCTGAGGCTTATCTGGAAGCTTAGATTCAATCTCCTAACAATATTTGAAATGGGGGGAAAAAAGTGGTTCTGCTGTTTCGTACACAGTTCTCCTAATATTCTGCTATTTAGAGTGCCGAGAAGCCAATTTTTAGTTAATTTCTATCACGCTACTTCTCTACTTTTGTGGCTGCTCTAAAGCCTGTTGCACATATCCTGTGGTTGAACTACAGGATGTCAAGCTATTGGTTGCTAAGCGATCCAGACATTTGGGTGGTTATTATGAGACAGCAAAGTGTAGTGAGGACCGAGACATATCAGAAATGGTTTGCTCAAAGCTGAAATCATTTACCTCTTCAGCAACAGACATTAAACGCTCACAGTCCCACAAATACCTCCTTCCCCTTTCTGTGGAAGTCTGGAGTGTTGGGTTTTTTTAAAGCACTTCAGTGCACTACAGTTATTTTGTCCATAAACATGTACCTACCACTGAAGTTTTCATCCAGTGTTCTTTCTAATCATATCTGCAAGACAATACAGTGTCATGGAGATTTTAGTCTCCTCTGTGCTTGCTCTATCTATGTTGTGCACTATCTATGGTGCTACCAAGCAGCGAAATGCTAAAAGAAGGACCCAGTAAATACAGAAACCAACAAAAAATAGCAACCAGAAAGCTCAATTAGCCATTTTAGTGAGTGTGGGGGAAAGCACAATGGATGACTTTAGAGTGACGGGGACATGGCCCATCATTTTGATAGCTATTACTTCTACTGCAGAACTCCTTCAGTGCTTTGTCATATCATCAGCTCCACCTCTTCCACACTGGTGCAAATCATCTCCTCCATACAATCAAAAATGTAAACATCTGTGATGGTGAACGCCGTGTGTCAGTGAGTGCCCGAGATGGCCCCTTCGCAGGCACATCAAATCCCTGACGCTTCTCTGGGGAATTCAGGACAGCGAACGTGGTTTCCTCCTGATGGTTCTCACGTACCAACAAGCCCAAGCTTTCCCAGCACTTCTTTTCACTCACACAAAGGATGAACTCAGGTCAATCCACTGCAGAAGCGCACACGTATGCCAGGAGCTTGTCAAGTACGAGGCTGAGAAGGTACGTTCAAAATCCCTGCCTGGCTTCCTCTAGCAAAACCAATACGAAATTTGGGTGACTATGAAAGCGCTAATTAATCAAGCAAGATACACCGATATTTGGGTTGTGCTACGTTGTCATTAGCTGGAGGAAGCAGCTCTATAAAAAGCAAAGTTTTGGAACACCAGCCCTCCTCCCACAAGTGCTGCCAGCAGCAGACACAGCCACCGAGATGCTGGGATATCTGACGTAGGGATTTGGGATCCCTGCTAAATACCAACGCACTCCGACCAGCAGCTGGTGCCTCTAAGTCTGACTTTGCCTCTTCTAAATCACTGACCATTACCCAAATAAAGCAGATACGATATGAGGGATGACATCTTGGCTCCCAGTTTCTCTAACCTACTCGCTCTGCCATTGTCAGCTCCCGAAGGCACCCATGTGAGGTTCCCAGGTCCTGTCCCAAGATCTCCTAGGATCTAGCCAGCACGCCTGGCTCCACCACGCTGCCAAAAGGTTTCTCACCTTCCATTTCAGCAATCTCTCCTGCAGCTGACAGGCACAAAGAAGTATTGGCACAGCACCAAGTGAAGACAGGGCCTAATTAAAGACAGGACATCTTGGGCGTACACATGCTTATGAGCACGTGCACACGTGTGCACATGTGCTAATTAGGGCTGCCGTCGCAGGGACGAAAGCAGAAGCCATCGAGGGCTCTCGATACCAAAAGCTACAGGTTCACCTCTCGGGGTGGGCAGCCCGAGAACAGCAAATACACAAAATTACTTTTCATAGAATCATAGAATTAGAATCATAGAATTTCCCAGGCCGGAAGGGACCTCCAAGGGTCATCTAGTCCGACCCCCCCGCAGTCAGCAGGGACACCCCCAACTAGACCAGGTTGCCCAGGGCCTCGTCGAGCCTCTCCTTGAATATCTCCAGGGATGGGGCCTCAACCACCTCCCTGGGCAACCTGTTCCAGTGCTCCACTACCCTCACAGTAAAGAACCCCCTTCTAATCTCCAATCTAAATCTGTTCCCCTCCAGCTTGAAGCCATTTCCCCTCGTCCTGTCACTACAGGCCTTTCTAAACAGGCTCTCCCCAGCCTTCCTGTAGGCTCCCTTCAGGTACTGGAAGGCTGCTATTAGGTCACCCCGGAGCCTCCTCTTCTCCAGGCTGAACAACCCCAGTTCCTTCAGCCTGTCCTTGTAGCAGAGGTGCTCCATCCCCTTGATCATCCTTGTGGCCCTCCTCTGGACCCTCTCCATCAGGTCCATGTCCTTCTTGTATTGAGGGCTCCAGACCTGCACACAATACTCCAGGTGAGGTCTCACCAGAGCAGAGTAAAGTGGCAGAATCACCTCTCTGGACCTGCTGGCAACGCTTCTTTTGATGCAGCCCAGGATGCGATTGGCCTTCTGGGCTGCAGCTGCACACTGCCTGCTCATGTCCAGCTTCTCGTCCACCAGCACCCCCAAGTCCCTTTCCTCAGGGCTGCTTTCCAACACCTCACCCCCTAGTTTGTATTGGTGGCGAGGATTGTTCCGGCCCAGGTGCAGAACCTTGCACTTGCTCTTGTTGAACCTCATGAGGTTCACCTGGGCCCACCTCTCCAGCCTGTCCAGGTCCCTTTGGATGATATCCCGTCCCTCTAGTGTATCGACAACACCACACAGCTTGGTATCATCCGCAAACTTGCTGATGGTGCCTTTAATTTCCCTGTCTATATCATTGATAAAAATGTTAAACAGCACCGGCCCCAGCACGGACCCTTGAGGAACACCACTTGTGACTGGTCTCCATCTGGACTTTGAGCCATTGAGTACTACCCTCTGGATGTGACCATCTAGCCAGTTCCTTATTTTCGAGAGGTTTAGGGCTGTAAACATTGTCAGAAGAGCACTAACGTGTGTTCTGCATTTTCACCTTCTTTCCAAGTCAGAACGGCTGATTCCCCATCGTTCTAGGAGGGGATTATGGCTCTATTGAGGGGGTTTTTATAGTGTATGTTGATTGTTGGATATTGTCAGCAAGAAAATTATAGTGGGAAACAATGTTCAGGGACAAACAAGGCAGAAGATATTTTAAACCTTAACAAAGCCAAGCACCACCATAAACCTTGAGAGGAGGCTTGCACATTAAATTGTCCAATTTTTGGGAAGACTTGCAAACTCAGTTAATATAAATCTTCATTTCTTCCCTTGCTATTACTGTGGGTGGGGAACAGGAGAACTCACTACACTGCTATGCAGGTAGAAAGGGTATTATCTAGAAAGCTTTTTCCCTACTGTGCAGTAAAACCAAGTGCCATACAGAAATGAGCCCATTTCACATAAACAGCAGAACCCAATCAATACCAGAACCACCTTGACAACCAATTTATTCCAGAGGCCTCCCTTCACCCCCTTGTTGTGATTGCTTCATGTTAGAGCACAAACAAGCGAGGTATTTCGGGTCTCTGAGCAGGAGCCCAGAGTTACCGAAGGGAGGGAGCCTGGGAGATACCACTTTCAATTTCAATTACCATTTCCAATTGCGCTCCTGACAGAGCTCGTTACCGAACCCTTTGCAGGCTGGTTACACAACCAGCCTGCCACTAAGTGACAACAGGCTCCTGGCACGAGCAGGAAAGGCTCCCAGCCTTTTGAAACACAAAAGACAAATAGGTACCAGGAAGGTAGACAGAAAACTCTGTACTGTTATTTCATCTTTTTTTTTTTCCTCCTTTATAGTCACAATTTGTCAATAGTTCCACGTAGTTACAGCTCAGTACATTGCTCTTTCTCTAGAGAAACACAGTTCCAGATTCACATACGATTCACAAGATCAACGTGAAGATGTGGTGGCTGTTGGTATATTAGCATCAATTTAAAAAGTGCCCAAATACGGAGGTCAGACATCTATTCTCCACAACTCTGATCAATCCTAACGAGTAAGAAGTGTAACCTTCCTCCTCCCTTTGCACGAGGTTTACATCTGTTTCAAATTATAAAAGCAGGCAACTATACTTAGAAGCCATAATGCAGAGCAATCCATAAAACTCATTTTTACCTGATCATCAGCAAGGCTTTGCTGTGTACTGGAGAGCGCCTTTGTAATCAGGAGAGAGAGGCCGGCTCCTCTCCCAGGTAATTCAAAGCAAAATCCCAACCTAGTCTCCCTAGAATCGATGAATCATTCCTGGAAGGGCATCCGAGCCGGGCTTCTGCTCTGAGCTGCCCACCTTAGGGGAGTTTATTTCTCTTTAATGACTCTGGAGGGAGCCTGGGAGACCAGCTCTCTCGCCAGAGCCCAGCCTTTGAGACAAGCCTTGGCAGGTTCCTCGCACCAGGGGTGGGTAAGGGATTGTCAGCTGGGCCCTCAATCAGGAATCTGGATTTCAGCTGTTAGTTCCTAGCTTCTTACAAGGTCCTAGACTAGCTTTAAGACAAACAGAAAAACA